ATCACCACCTTCCCCTGGTTCCTTTAAATTAAAAATATGAAACATGGCTCCGTAAGGGGGGGGGGCCACCCTTTTACACCATTTGGGGGGGTACAATAGAGCCTCTAAAGGGGACCCTTGTGCAAAAAAGGTGACAAAATAGAGAAAAAACCTATTTCAAAAATTAGCCATTTTAATTACATAAAATAAACCTATATAGGGAAATCATTGATTTTGATGATATGATAATGATTTTTAGGACTGAAGGCAAGGAAATGTAAAATCAGATTCACGAGATGTTACCTGACTCAAAGGGCCAATCAAAAATTTTCTCTATTTTCAATGTTTTTTCTTTTTTTTTCAATTTTTTTTTTTTTTTTTTCATTGTGAAGATGAATAAATGTAGGATCTGTTGCCTGTACTCAAAGTGGTATTTAAGTTTATGTTTTCTCAATATTACTACGATTATTTATTTTATCATTAATAAAGTTGAGAAGTATTCTCCTATTTGGTTTATGGCCCTTAAATGTTCTCATTGCTAAACATTAGTCACTGGTCATGCAGTAGTGACGTAACTGGAGTTTACTCCCCCCATCCCTCCCCACCCTTGGATTTCATGGGGGTGACACCAAAGATGCCACCCTGGGTGACACCAAAGATTCCCCCCTGGGTGACACCAAAGATTCCCCCCCAGGTGACACCAACCCTAGCAATGCTACTGATGCAGAATGCTGACCTACAAGTGCTAACTGTTATTTATTAAATGCTTTTTGTACTACTGTATATTTTTCAGTAAACTAAGGGTAGAATATTTTTCTTTTATAAAAGTCTACCTCCTACCCTAACTTACATTTAATATACTCGCCAAAATGAGTCATTGAAAGAAAGTTGGCATATAATAAAATAAGAAATAATCTCAAGTCCTTTTAAGCATACAACAATGTATGTAAGACATAAAATGAATATGAATGCCACAGTAAGAGCATGAAGAGAGTAAAGTCATACCCGATACATGAAATGGACAACAGACACCTTAAATAATCAGGTCACATTAATGTTCACAAAAGAAAATTGCAAAACTATTCCAATTTCAGAGGGGATACTTGATGCAAGTTCTGAAAATTGAGGATGTACCTATTGTAAATGAAATAGTCAAGAACACATGCAGTATAATATTAGCAAATATAGGGACCAAGGCACCAGAGAATCTAGTCAAAAATTACAAAAACGGCAATTGACAAATAATGTATCCCAGTACGACAGCTATTCAGAAAATCTCTTGAGCAAGAAGTGTGCCACAAGCCTAGAAATCTACCAAATCACCACCATCTTTAAGAAAGGATGTAGAAACAGATCAGAAAACTAAAAGTCAATTATAGCACTTGAATTTTCTTTTACGGCCACCCTGTCTTGGTGGGAAGTGGCCAATGCATTATTAAAATAAATAAAATAAAATAATTTTCCATATATTAAAGCTCCTCGATAGCATTTAATTTCAAGCAATTGGCAACCAATCTAATAAAAACCTTACAGTACTGAACTATGGAAAACAAATTTTGCCTAACAAACTTCCTAACATTTATTATACAGGTAACTAACTACAATGACCAAGAACTTCCCGCTAGTGTGCTGTACATGGACTTTTCAATAACTTTCGATAAAGAGGCATATGAAAGGCTGGCCCAGAATATCCAAGCTCACAAGATCACTGGCAAAATTCTGGAATGGATAAAACAATGGCAGGGACACAAAGCCTGAGCGAGTAGAATGTTACTCTAAAATATTAGGAGTGAAGTGCAACAAGTACTTATACTAAGAACATTAATGAAGATGAGAAAATATCATCATTAAATCTGGAAAGGATTCAGAGCCGTGAAAAAAAATAATAAAGGGAGCATTACATCAATGCAAAATGACCTGTCACCAACTTCATAAATGGTCGAGTGGCAATTGTTCTCCAATGTAAAGCAATCCAAGATTGGTATATGAAAATAAACAATGTTCACAATCTACATTCATCAGTTTAGCTACAATATTAAGAGCACTGTCTAAGTACCAATACATAAAAAAAAAGTTGTGAAAAAGAATGAATGATACTATAATTCCTACACTCTGAAAGATGGGTAAGGATGTTGTGATTCAAATGTGTCATTGGAAATGTGATTTCTGCACACTTGACAAAACAGCTAATGAGGGAGTGATGGTGAATGTTTCCTACTTTAGGTCACCCTGCTTTAGTTGGAGATGGCCAAGGAAGTAAAAAAAAAATCACAAAACTATCATTTACTAATACGTATACAGTCTTTGTATGCCTTGATTAGGTACTACATGAAAGCACCAAGACCACAAAGAATAAAAGCTCACAATACTGTGACTGGAGCAATACACAAATAACCTGCACACAGGAGAAAGACACTTATGGCGACTTTTCAGCCCAACTTGAACCATCAACTAGTCACACTCGTTAATGGTCCAAGTCAGACCAAAATGTTATCATGAGTTTCTTTATCTTATGTGAAGGTTACTTGTGTACCAAGAACACACCCACAAAAATACTACTGTATATCACTAGGAAAAAAGAAAAGCTCAATCAAGAGCAACACAAGTTCTTAGATAAGTCAGCTCATAGGCAACTCTTTAGTTGAGGCATGACAGACTTGATCAAGAGATGCTTAGGATACTAATGATGGATAATAAAAACCCCAAACACTTCCAGAAGTCCAAAGTGACACACAAAATGGACAACTTCAAGCTTGCCAAATAACAGGGAAAAAATAATAATCACCCATAGAGAAATAAACACATGGAAGTATACCTGCCAGAGCTGCCGAAGCCAAAACTGCTACAGTTCAAGTTTCACTTGGCAATACTGATCAGGAAACTTGAGAGCCTGCACATGCCTTGGGCTTCCTGTAATTCCCAGCACCACCAAAGATGGTGACCAGCAGGTAAATACAGGTATACTAAATATCTGTACAATCATATGGTATGGAAAGAGCCTAAATGCATGTGAATAAATTGTCCTGAAGAAAGCTATGTGGGCTCATAGATGGTTCTAATGTACACTGAATGGGAACACTCCAACAATCAAAGGTCTTGGAAACAGCCTTGTTTCCACATCATCTGACTTAAAAAAATAGTTTAAAGTAATTTTTATTTTTATATTTGACTTGCATGAAAGAAAGGGTTTTACAGACAAGTCCCAATTTTAATTACCTAAACTCGCTCTTTGCCTTCTTTCTCTTACACCAGAAGACAATGACAAGAAAGAGGCAGATACAACATATTAACCTTTTATAGATGGAAGAAAGGTTATGAAATAAATGACAGAAAAACATAAGTTTTGGTTAAGACAAGCATTTGCAAGAACTTGGAGTGGATTCAAACACAAGAAATTAGCAAATTCTGTTTACCTCTCTTGCTGTGTATTAAAAAAATTGTCAAGATAAATGTATATTGCATTAACCCTTTGAGGGTTTTGGTCGTACTAGTACGTCTTACGCGTAGGGGTTTTTGACGTACTAGTACTCATAAATTCTAGCAGCCTCAAATCTAGTGGGAGAAAGCTGGTAGGCCTTCATATGAAAGAATGGGTCTATGTGGTCAGTGTGCACAGTCTAAAAAAAATCCTGCAGCACACAGTGCATAATGAGAAAAAAAAAACTTTGACCATTTTTTTGGAATAAATCAGCGACTTTGCAGTGTATTTTCGTATGGTATTTATTGTTGTATTCTAGTTTTCTTGGTCTCATTTTATAGAATGGAAGACATATTACAGAAATTGAGATGATTTTGACTGGTTTTACAATGAAAGATGCCTTGAAATTGAGCTCAAAGTAGCAGAAATGTTCGATTTTTACCAAACTTCAAAAGTAAACAAATCGTGCCAAGCATGCAATACACATCAACTGGTGAGTCTAATATTCTTTCACAAGTGCACCAATAATATTTATACCATTTTTTACACTAATGCAGTAGTCTGCATAACAGTAAATCTTATATTTTTTGTGAGAATAAAAATTCAAAGTGGAAAGCAAAAGAATATAAGAGGGGCCTTGAGACGTGACTAATGACTAGAGGAAATGTCATTTTAGTGCCAGGAATGTCTTTCTTGTTTATTCTGGACCCTATTCGGAAATTGGCATCTTTTGAAATTTGTGTGAAATTGGCAAAATTGCTAAATTCTGACCACTGTACTGGATAGTTGAATTTCATAAATGGGTGGTTTCTTGCACCCATTCGATAGAAAAAATGGAGTTCTAGCGAAATATTCATGTATTTTGTCGACTAGTACAGCGAAATTGGCCGAAAATGGGGCTCAAAGTGGGCAAAATCGCCGATGCGTAAACATCGCCGAGACCGCTAACTTTGCGAGAGCATAATTCCGTAAGTTTTCTATCAAATTTCAAACTTTTGGTGTCTTTATGATCGGGAAAAGATTCTCTATCTTTTCATAAGAGAAAATAATTTTTTTTTTTTTTTAAATTTGGCCGACCCTGAGAACGAGTTTCGGAGAGGGCCTGTCGACCCTCAAAGGGTTAAGTAGTTTGTTGTCTGGTAAAACTTAAATTTCTGAGGTTGTTAACAGAATATGACTGCTCCTCAACTGGAATATGTACTGATGAACATAAGAGAGTGACCAAATGGAAACTAAAGCACATAACTTTACTAAAATTTGCAATATTATTAGCATAATTTCTATATAAAAAATGCATCATATCACTATCTTTTTTCCACTTTTCTGTGGCATGAAAGACCAATGTTTCTCCAGTTGACCAAGACAGAATGTATTCACACAGATACACACTCACACAACAAGCACACATACATTTATAAACACGAAAGCACACACACAACAAAAAAACAAACAGAAAAACACACACACACAAAAACATACACACAAAAACCACACCGAAACAACACAAAAAACAAACAAAAAACAAGCACACTCAAAATACACACCCATACAAAATATTAAAAGCTAAACAAATAATGAGAAACATGCTGACTTTGTGTCTTACCTGTGTTCAATGATCCTCTCCACAATTCTCTGGGTGGTCATGTCATTTCCAGAATCCAGCAGCTTAAATTTGCTCCTCCTCTTGGGCTCGGCATATGGATCCGAGCCATCAGCATCTGGCATGATCTCAGACAATCCATGACACACCAAATTCACTTTTAATTGGTCCATCAAATCCGCTGTTACAGAATATGGGGCTCCTATTACAACTTCGCTCACATACTGAAACAGCATGCAACTGTTAGTATTATTATTTTTACAGTCAGAACTTAACACTAAACCTTCAACGGTTAGTAACAAAAGCCAAATGCTTTTACAGAAAATATATAGCAGTAGGAATAAAATTAAATGAATACAAAAAGTACATAATTTGACAGGACCAATTAAAGGAGAGAATAAAAATAAGTGGGATTTGTCACAGTTGCTCTTTGCTGATGACACTGTGCTTTTGGGAGATTCTGAAGAGAAGTTACAGAGGTTGGTGGATGAGTTTTGTAGAGTATGTAAAAGAAGGAAATTAAAAGTGAATATAGGAAAGAGTAAGGTGATGAGGATAACAAAAAAATCTAGGCAATGAAAGATTAGATATTAGATTGGAGGGAGAGAGTATGGAGGAGGTGAATGTAGTCAGATATTTGGGAGTGGATGTGTCAGCAGATGGGTCTATGAGAGATGAGGTAAATCATAGAACTGATAAGGGGAAACAAGTGAGTGCTGCACTGAGGAGTCTGTGTAGACAGAGAGAGGAATGTATGAGAGTATAGTATACCAATGCTCTTCTATAGATGTGAAGCATGGTTTGTAAATGCTGTAGCGAGGACGAGGCTGGAGGCAGTGGAGATGTCATGTCTAAGGGCAATGTGTGGTGTAAATATTATGCAGAGAATTCGTAGTGTGAAAATTAGGAGGAGGTGTGGAGTTACTAAAAGTATTAGTCAAGAGGGCTGAAGAGGGGTTGTTGAGGTGGTTTGGTCATCAGAGAGAATGGAACAAAGTAGAATGACTTGGAAAGCATATAAATCTATAGGGGAAGGAAGGAGGGGTGGGGGGTCATCCTCAAAAAGGTTGGACGGAGGGGGCAAAGGAGGTTTTGCGGGAGAGGGGTTTGGACTTCCAGCAAGCGTGTGTGAGTGTGTTAGATAGGAATGAATGAAGACAAATGATTTTTGGGACCTGACGAGCTGTTGGAGTGTGAGGAGGGTAATATTTTGTGAAGGGATTCAGGGAAACTGATTAGCCGGACTCGAGTACTGGAAATGGGAAGTACAATGCCTGCAATTTAAAGGAGGGGTTTGGGATACTGGCAGTTTGGAAGGACATCTAAATTGTCATACCTGAGTGCCTCTGCAAAGACAGTGATTATGTATGAGTGATGGTGAAAGTGTCAAATGATGAAAGGTTTTTCTTTCTTTTTGGGTTCTAAGTGTCGAATGATGATGAAAAGTTTTTCTTTCTTTTTGGGTTCTTTCTTTATGGGTCACCCTGCCTCTGTGGGAAACAGCTGTGTGTAAAAAAAAAAATATACAACCTGCCTGAAATGCTCTGCATAACCAGAAGCTTTCTATATAGTGTGTCACTGATGTCAGCAAGGTTTATATAAGTTGTATCATGTAATTGTAGAAATAAGGATTATTATTATTATTATTATTATATACTTTAATGTAATATTGTATTACTGTGTATGGTATTTCTTAAATGTATCTATAAATATAGCATATGCAATACAGATTACAGTACTGTACATCTAATTTAAATATTACCTTAATAACAGCGTACAATTTTCTTTCACATTTCTTCATTAAGATAATGACTAAAATTAGATAGAATTAAAAACAAGACTTACTTTGCAAGCCAAAACAGAAAGAACACGCTCATGCAGATTCATAATAGGGTAATTTGCCCCTTTGTATCGATTAACGACAGGGTCTGTGTGGAGTCCGACAATGAGGAAGTCTCCTTCCTGACGAGCCTTTTCCAGAAAGTCCAAATGTCCAACATGAAACAGGTCAAATGCTCCAGCCACATACACAATCTTGTCACTAGCCTGTAAAGAAAACAAGTGCTAAGACTATTAATTCATAAAAACATAATGTAAGTTACTATATAAACGCTAAGTGCAAAGTAACATTTATGAAGGGATTCAGGGAAACCGGTTAGCCAGACTTAGAGTTGTGAAGGTGTGGAGTACGGTGCCTGCACTCTGAAGGAGGGGGTGGAGATATGTTTCAGGTTTTGAACTGTAGTATCGGCATGCTTCTGGCAAGACAGTGATGGAGTGATGATGAAAGTGTTTCTTCTTTTTCAGGTCACCCTGCCTCGCTAGGAAACGGCCGATGTGTTAAAAAAAAAAAAGTGGAAATCTGATCTTTTTCACTATGTACATACAGCAATTATTGTCATTTTAAATTTTGATTTTATTACCTTTGGCGTAAGCCCAGAGGAGAACTGCATAATTTTTTGTGTCGTTGGAAGAAACTGAGTGACACCAGTCCACGGTGATCGAGCACTGGCATCAGTTCCCAGACTATCTGAATGGCCACGCTCAACAAGATACTCAGCATCTCCAACCTGTAATTTTAATAGTGCTAAAATGGTCAAAATTTTAGAATGAAAAGTGGGTCTACAGTATTACTGCATTTGACTGTCTCTGTGACAGAAAGGTCTAGGATATCACATACCAGAAGTTCCTTCAGTCTACAAAAAAATCAGAACTTCTTCATGGTGTTAAGCAGATGGTTAAGCTATTTTGACGCATCAAAATCCAATGTTTTCTCTGCATACTAATGACATACTCTTTTCCTCTGGTTGGAAGACATACAAAATTATTTTGCAACTGTATTATCATTGAGGATGAAGATTACTTTAGGCCCTGTGTGCAAAGACCTTGGGAGACTCCACACCTCACTGAAGCACTTCTTCAATAAAAGACATTCCAGATACCACATAATAGTACAAGTAGAACATCAATTTTCCAGACACTGATGGTCTGGAAACTCTTATAATCAATACAAATTTACAATTAGGAACTTGATAATCCATACAAATTTGCAAGTAGGCACTTGAAACCCCAAGACCAAGGAATTCTGCGCTCTCTAAAGGCAGAAAACTCAGTAATCGGAAAGGCTTTGGAAGCTGATGTTGTACCTGTATCACCTTCTGAATGAGTTGCTAATTATTCTTGCAGTGAGAATACAATATTATATATACAGTGGATCCTCGACCAACAATGGCATCGATTAACGATAAATCCGCCCAGCGATACATTTTAACACAAAAATTTTGCCTCAACTAGCGCTAAAATACTCGACCAACACTATTCATTCCGTCTGAGACGCGTCCACTTCTGGCCAGTGTTTACAAGCCAGCCAGCCACCGCGGTATCTTCCAAGCATACAATCGGAACATTTCATATTATCACAGCCTTTTTAGTGATTGCACCTGCAAAATAAAGCCCATGGGCCCCAAGAAAGCTTCTAGGCAAACCCTACAGCAAAAAGGTGAGAATTACTATGGATAGGGAAGAAAGAGAATCATTGCTAAGTATAAAGTAGAGTGCTTGTCTCCGAGCTGGCCAGGTTTACAAAAAACCCCAATCACCATCGCTACTACGTGGCCAAGGGAAAACGGTCAAACAAGAAGCTGTTCTTGCCAAAGGTGCAACTATGATTTTCGAAACTGATTCGCAAGTGATAGGAATATGTGAGAGATGGTATTGGTGTGGTAAATGAAAACTAATAGCAGGAATTGCATCTCTCAAGCGATCTAGTAATTGAAAAGGCTGGAAGTTGATGAGGATTTAAATTAGAAAAATGCCACAACTATGGTGAGTGAGTGAATTTAAGCCAGCAAAGGTTGGTTTTGAGAGATTTAAGAATTGTATGGCATAACTATGTGTTTAAGGCATGGTGAGGCTCCCATTTGGACCAAAAAGCAGCTGAAAAATATGTGCAGAATTAAAGGAGTACATAGACGTGAAAATTGAAACCTGAACAAGTGTTTAATTGTGACAATGACAATGTTGTGAAACACTTTAGGAATGTCATAAAGGAACGGAGTTTACAGGCCTCTAATGACAGAATAGTTGTGTGACAGAGGTCCATGACTCTTCAAGCTGTCCTGTGCATTAAAAAAGAAAGGTAAGAACCCCGAAAAAGGACTTTGCCACCTAAAGTCCTAATGGAGGGTATTCCCTTTAAAACTACACTCAACACTCTCCCCTCCTCCCATCCCATCAATAATCCACCAGATCTTAAATAAGTAAGTGTTTCATGTTAACTGTGCTTTTTTGTACTTCTTCATGTGTGAAATATAAAATTAAAATATTTCATGTGGTAAAAAAAATTTTTTTCAATACTTTTGGGTGTCTTGCACGGATTAATTTGATTTCCATTATTTCTTATGGGGAAAATTAACTCGACTAACGATACTTTCGATTAACGATGAGCTCTCAGGAACGGATTAATATCGCTGGTCGAGGGTCCACTGTATACTGTAGTTGAATAGCTGAAAAGTGAAAAATTATGTGCATAATAATGAAGCACGCTTGTATCTATAGTACTCTAAATTTTCATATACCCAAGCAGAGTTTAGGTACCTTACCTGTTGGTGTTGTCTGGTCATTAACAACATTCTTCCAACCAAATCTGTTGTACTGACGCCCTCAGTCCTCTTGCATTCTCTGCAAGTTTTAAACATTATCACACTTTACACAAAACATAATACAGCATCTTCCAGAGTGCCAGTACAGTGGACCCCCGCATAACGATTACCTCCGAATGTGACCAATTATGTAAGTGTATTTATGTAAGTGCGTTTGTACGTGTATGTTTGGGGGTCTGAAATGGACTAATCTACTTCACAATATTTCTTATGGGAACAAATTCGGTCAGTACTGGCACCTGAACATACTTCTGGAGTGAAAAAATATCGTTAACCGGGGGTCCACTGTATTTTATTATTTTTTTTTTATTATCACACTGGCCGATTCCCACCAAGGCAGGGTGGCCTGAAAAAGAAAAACTTTCACCATCATTCACTCCATCACTGTCTTGCCAGAAGGGTGCTTTACACTACAGTTTTTAAACTGCAACATTAACACCCCTCCTTCAGAGTGCAGGCACTGTACTTCCCATCTCCAGGACTCAAGTCCGGCCTGCCGGTTTCCCTGAATCCCTTCATAAATGTTACTTTGCTCACACTCTAACAGCACGTCAAGTATTAAAAACCATTTGTCTCCATTCACTCCTATCAAACACGCTCATGCATGCCTGCTGGAAGTCCAAGCCCCTCGCACACAAAACCTCCTTTACCCCTCCCTCCAACCTTTCCTAGGCCGACCCCTACCCCGCCTTCCTTCCACTACAGACTGATACACTCTTGAAGTCATTCTGTTTCGCTCCATTCTCTCTACATGTCCGAACCACCTCAACAACCCTTCCTCAGCCCTCTGGACAACAGTTTTGGTAATCCCGCACCTCCTCCTAACTTCCAAACTACGAATTCTCTGCATTATATTCACACCACACATTGCCCTCAGACATGACATCTCCACTGCCTCCAGCCTTCTCCTCGCTGCAACATTCATCACCCACGCTTCACACCCATATAAGAGCGTTGGTAAAACTATACTCTCATACATTCCCCTCTTTGCCTCCAAGGACAAAGTTCTTTGTCTCCAGACTCCTAAGTGCACCACTCACTCTTTTTCCCTCATCAATTCTATGATTCACCTAATCTTTCATAGACCCATCCGCTGACATGTCCACTCCCAAATATCTGAATACATTCACCTCCTCCATACTCTCTCCCTCCAATCTGATATCCAATCTTTCATCACCTAATCTTTTTGTTATCCTCATAACCTTACTCTTTCCTGTATTCACCTTTAATTTTCTTCTTTTGCACACCCTACCAAATTCATCCACCAATCTCTGCAACTTCTCTTCAGAATCTCCCAAGAGCACAGTGTCATCAGCAAAGAGCAGCTGTGACAACTCCCACTTTGTGTGTGATTCTTTATCTTTTAACTCCACGCCTCTTGCCAAGACCCTCGCATTTACTTCTCTTACAACCCCATCTATAAATATATTAAACAACCACGGTGACATCACACATCCTTGTCTAAGGCCTACTTTTACTGGGAAATAATCTCCCTCTTTCCTACATACTCTAACTTGAGCCTCACTATCCTCGTAAAAAACTCTTCACTGCTTTCAGTAACCTACCTCCTACACCATACACTTGCAACATCTGCCACATTGCCCCCCTATCCACCCTGTCATACGCCTTTTCCAAATCCATAAATGCCACAAAGACCTCTTTAGCCTTATCTAAATACTGTTCACTTATATGTTTCACTGTAAACACCTGGTCCACACACCCCCTACCTTTCCTAAAGCCTCCTTGTTCATCTGCTATCCTATTCTCCGTCTTACTCTTAATTCTTTCAATTATAACTCTACCATACACTTTACCATACACAGACTTATCCCCCTATAATTTTTGCACTCTCTTTTATCCCCTTTGCCTTTATACAAAGGAACTATGCATGCTCTCTGCCAATCCCTAGGTACCTTACCCTCTTCCATACATTATTAAATAATTGCACCAACCACTCCAAAACTATATCCCCACCTGCTTTTAACATTTCTATCTTTATCCCATCAATCCCGGCTGCCTTACCCCCTTTCATTTTACCTACTGCCTCACGAACTTCCCCCACACTCACAACTGGCTCTTCCTCACTCCTACAAGATGTTATTCCTCCTTGCCCTATACACGAAATCACAGCTTCCCTATCTTCATCAACATTTAACAATTCCTCAAAATATTCCCTCCATCTTCCCAATACCTCTAACTCTCCATTTAATAACTCTCCTCTCCTATTTTTAACTGACAAATCCATTTGTTCTCTAGGGTTTCTTAACTTGTTAATCTCACTCCAAAACTCTTTCTTATTTTCAACAAAATTTGTTGATAACATCTCACCCACTCTCTCATTTGCTCTCTTTTTACATTGCTTCACCACTCTCTTAACCTATCTCTTTTTCTCCATATACTCTTCCCTCCTTGCATCACTTCTACTTTGTAAAAACTTCTCATATGCTAACTTTTTCTCCCTTACTACTCTCTTTACATCATCATTCCACCAATCGCTCCTCTTCCCTCCTGCACCCACTTTCCTGTAACCACAAACTCCTGCACCCACTTTCCTGTAACCACAAACATCTTTATTCATTTACTAGAAGTACAGTACATGGACTATTTTAAACTCACTTGTATCGCTTGGCAGCTTTGACGATGTGATAAGTGTCAACACCATCAGCAGTCATGGTGATATCATCTGAAATAAAGCATAAATATTGCACCTGCACCCATATATCTCCTTACTGTAGTTCCTCCTGTAAAATTAGTGAAGGTCCAGACATTAAGACCAATCCATGTATGGCATGATTAAAATATTCCAACTTTGAGAGATTTTCTCTATCATTTTGACATATAAGGAGGACAATTATGATTAACATAGTTTAAGCAATTTGCATTCTGTAATATTATGCTAAACTTTTGTACATGTAATAGTTTTATTACTATGACTCAGTGTTTTTTAAAACAAGAATGAAAAAATGCTTTACTTTAATAAATTTTTAAAAACTAAGCTATTAAAACAGGACTCAGCTACATTATTTATTTTGTGCCTAACAATATTATATTACATGTAGAGTACATTACCTGTATACTGCAGAAAAGAAATAAATTATTATTACTAGTGATAAAATGAGAGTGAAAAGTAATATCTTGAACTTAGGCTTAACTGGCTAATTACTAAGCATCAAAAATAAAATTTATGCAGATTTCTCTTACAGCAGCAAGATGATATGGGTCATCAGGTATTTCAAATTCTTACCTCCATGTACACAGAAATCACAATTATATTTATCCAAAGTTTCTATGGTGGTAACATAGGGTGCTCCTTCAATCACCTCATCCACCCACTTGATGGCTCGGACCATTTTATATCTGGAGTAGCAAGGTAATTGTTAGTGCTGTATGGTACATTGGAATGCAAAAAAAAAAAAAAAAAAAAAAAAAAAAAAAATTAATTACTGAAAATTAAGTTAGTTAATGGTTTATTAATGCTGATTTATGTTTCCAGAATTACTCTGGTAGTTACTATTAATACAAATCCTGTATGCATTATCAATAGTCACTCCACAAAATTTTCTCCATTAAAAGTTCAATCAGTCAGACTGAGTCTAGCCAATAACTGGATGGGTGACTATATGAACATAATCTTATCCTGGACCAGGAAAACCCTGACAAGCAGATTAACATCCGTGTTTCCCTTTCCTTGAGAAAAGAATATGTTGTACTAGTACATACTTTACTGTTAAGGTAAACCACAGCCTAAGGAATTGGTACACTCTTCTGCACATACCTCTCTTGTTGTGTGAAGACAGGCGGACCTTTGTGTTTACTGATCTCTTCATCTGTGTGCACACCAACTATTAAGTAGTCTCCCATAGCTTTTGCTTGACGGAGCGCATTTGCATGCCCAAAGTGTACCATATCATAGCTGAATAAAAAAACAGATTTGCAATCAATTCACATGAGAAACCATACTGAACAAATAAAAAAAAATATGCTAATAAATTTCTCAAATATCCAGCTCAATTATTCCTACAGGAGCTCCCTTAGCATATACTCTTCACTATTATTGCTGACCTTCAAGTGAGGTGCCTTGATTCCAGTGAAGGTCTCTTGATTCAAGGAATTTAAATTATCCTTCCCATCCCTGGACTGAACCTGATTACCCCTCATTCCCCAGATGTTATATTGTTCACTGATGCGTGATGAAATGTGGATGAACAACTGAATCTGAAGTAATAAAACATGTTTTGTTTTTAACAATTTTATACATAATGCTCCTAAAAACTAGTTAATTGCTGATACACTGCAAATTGAAATGTCTAGTTTGAAGCCAAAGAAAAACATGAGGTGAGCATGGAAATGAGGAAGTGATATATTTTATGGCTTCCTTAACATTTTACTTATTTCTGAATACAGTACGTTATCTAGCTACCAACCCATGTACAGTACTGTACTCACCCAACATAGTAGTTTTTGGGCAAATTATCAACTTATGTATTGTACCTAACTATGTTCAGTACCTACCTATGACTCAGGACATATCTATTTTTTTTTTTTTAACAAATCAATTTTACAGGACAAGAGCTATTATCCTACCTCAGCTCATTTTCAAAGCTTATCCCTATCTTAGGTATACTATCACCCCCCCCCCAGGATACCATCCCCAAAAGTATTTCCATTGAGGTCCTTTGATCCTCTTCTCCAAGGTGTTAGTTGATTGTTGAGACTCGCAACAGTCAACTAACACCCAAGTACAATGTACTTACTTACTGCTAGGTGAACAGGGGCTGCAGGTGTAAGGAAACATGCCCAATGTTTCCACCTGTGCATGAGATTGAACCCTGAGCACTCGGTATGTGAGCTGAGTGCACTGCCAACCAAGTTATGGGACACCATTTACTAGTATCATGGAAAAGTACTAAATCCAAATGGGCCATACATCACATAAGTTATGGGAGACAGTCAGGTTCAGTCATATGAACAGAGGTCCAATTCATTGGATCAAGAGCCTCTCACTATCAAGACACCCCTTCCCATTACTCACTGAACTATTTGTGGTGTTTGAACTGCAGCTCCTTAATCAACAGATATGATTAAAAAACCCACAAGTTATCATGCAGTACTCACCTATTTGTGGTTGCAGGAGTCACATTTTAGCTCTTTGCTGATCACTACTAGATCCACTCTCTCCTTGCTCCAAGAGTCATTTTTTTAACTCTTCTTAAAGCTATGTGTGGATCCTGTCTATGCTACTTTTGCCTTTTTATTCATGTAGTGAAACCATTTTCATTTGTTGTAATACATTATGTCAGAAAACTTCAAATTAGAAGTACAACAGAATTCTGAGTTTTAGAAAGTGAATGGCTTGTTAAGACGTCCAGTGAAGCTGCTAGTCTTTGTGAGTTACATCTGTGCCCATAACACATGTGCACTCACAATTATTGTTAATATTATTAGGTTATAAATGGTTATAATCATAACCATAATTTTTAAAAGGGTGAACTGGTAAGCCAGCGGAAGGCATCGGTCAGATGACCAGAAGCTGTGGGTCATCATAAGTAAGTTTCTTTAGGCACAGGTACATATAAGTACAATTATTATACATAGTGTAAATTACCTAGGATAACCCCCAAAAAAGTCAAAGTGATCAATTTCTGACCAGCATCTGAAAACACTTGTCCTGTTTACTGACTTACCTAACCTAACAACCATTGTTATATAATAAGCAGTGTCTAGGGATTATATAAAAACCGTACTCAATAGGATAGTCTGTGAGAGCATTACCTGATAACAACATCCAATATAGTACCAAGGTACATGTACTGATAAGTACAAGAATTCAGTAATGGTTCCCTACTCCCATATAACACAAAGAAATTTAATATCTTTCATACCAACTGTAGATCCCTGCATTACTATATTAAATACAAGTAGAACCATTTTGTCTAAACAAGTAAGTTTATTTAGGTACAAGTGCACATAAGTACTACAATTATGATACATGCTAATATATGTGTAAATTACTTAAGATAACCCAAGAAAGTCAGAAAAAGTGACTAATTTCCATTGAGGTCCTTGTGTGGGTTGTTATTGCTTGTCTAGGTCATTGCCTCTAGGATGTGACATACAACAGATAAATCCTAGGTGGTACATTACAGTGGTACCTGGCAGTGGTACACGAGTAGTAACTAGCAGTGGTACCTGGCAGTAGTACACGAGTGGTACCTGGCAGTTGTGCATGACAGTGGTGCATGAGTGGTACCTGGCAGTGGTACACGAGTGGTACGTGATAGCTGTGCATGACAGTGGTGCATGAGTGGTACCTGGCAGTGGTACACGAGTGGTACCTGATAGTTGTGCATGATAGTGGTGCACGAGTTGTGTCTTATAGTGGTGCTTGAGTGGTGTCATGCAATGATGCGCGATTGGCTGATGACATTAGTACCTAGTAGCTGTGCACGACACTAGTGCCTGGTAGCGGTGCACAACACTAGTGCCTGGTAGCGGTGCACGACACTAGTGCCTGGTAGCGGTGCACGACACTAGTGCCTAGTAGCTGTGCATGACACTAGTGCCTGGTAGTGGTGCACGACACTAGTGCCTGATAGCAGTGCACGACACTAGTGCCTGGTAGTGGTGCACGACACTAGTGCCTGGTAGTGGTGCACGGCACTAGTGCCTGGTAGCGGTGCACGGCACTAGTGCCTGGTAGCAGTGCACGGCACTAGTGCCTGGTAGCGGTGCACGACACTAGTGCCTTGTAGCTGTGTACGACACTAGTGCCTGGTAGCGGTGCACGACACTAGTGTCTGGTAGCGGTGCACGACACTAGTGCCTGGTAGCGGTGCACGGCACTAGTGCCTGGTAGTGGTGCACGGCACTAGTGCCTGGTAGCGGTGCACGGCACTAGTGCCTGGTAGCGGTGCACAACACTAGTGCCTGGTAGCGGTGCACGGCACTAGTGCCTGGTAGCGGTGCATGGCACTAGTGCCTGGTAGTGGTGCACGGCACTAGTGCCTGGTAGCGGTGCACAACACTAGTGCCTGGTAGCAGTGCACGGCACTAGTGCCTGGTAGCGGTGCACGGCACTAGTGCCTGGTAGTGGTGCATGGCACTAGTGCCTGGTAGCGGTGCACAACACTAGTGCCTGGTAGCGGTGCACGGCACTAGTGCCTGGTAGTGGTGCACGACACTAGTGCCTGGTAGCGGTGCACGACACTAGTGCCTGGTAGCGGTGCACGGCACTAGTGCCTGGTAGCGGTACACGGCACTAGTGCCTGGTAGCGGTGCACAACACTAGTGCCTGGTAGCGGTGCACGGCACTAGTGCCTGGTAGCGGTGCACAACACTAGTGCCTGGTAGCGGTGCACAACACTAGTGCCTGGTAGCGGTGCACGACACTAGTGCCTGGTAGCGGTGCACGGCACTAGTGCCTGGCAGCGGTGCACAACACTAGTGCCTGGTAGCGGTGCACGGCACTAGTGCCTGGTAGCGGTGCACGGCACTAGTGCCTGGTAGTGGTGCACGGCACTAGTGCCTGGTAGCGGTGCACAACACTAGTGCCTGGTAGCGGTGCACGGCACTAGTGCCTGGTAGCGGTGCACGACACTAGTGCCTAGTAGCGGTGCACAACACTAGTGCCTGGTAGCGGTCCACGACACTAGTGCCTGGTAGTGATGCATGACAGTGGTACACGACAGTAGTGCCTGTCAGTAAGTAAGTAGGTAAGTTTATTCAGGTATACACAAATACAGTTACATAGAATTATCATACATAGCAGCATGTGTGTAGAGAACCTAGGATAACCCAAAAAAGTCAGAGTGACTTATTTCCATTGGGGTCCTTACAGTGATGTGTGACAATAGTGTATGACAATAGTGTCTGGCAGTAGCGCATGAGTGATGCATGACAGTAGTGCATGTTAATGATGCGTGACAGTGGTGCATGACCTGGGTACATAAGTGTTGCCAGTGATCAGCTGCTGCAGTAGTTACATTGATCTGCATCGTGCCACACCACCGCCCACCTACACCCACTTAACATTTTCCACACGCATATACTATTTCCAATACACCTACACTAAAATTAAAACCTGAAACAAAGCACCCATTATAATTCATTAAAAGATTCCCTTTAATATACATATAAAATGCGGTATTTCGTTTTGTGTGGTGGTGGAAGCCAGAGCCGAGCGAAGGGTTGAGAGAGGTGCATGTCGTCTGCAGTGTGGGCACTGACAACTTAACTTACAACAGTAACTTAGATATTTAACACTGCCATCTTATCTGTATCTACTAGTACAACTAACACCACTCTGGATAACACTACATATATCTTACAGGTGTAGGGAGAGAACTGGGAAATATATATGAGGGAATTATACATCTTTTGGCAAACTTTGAGGACTGTGCCATGGGCAAGGTGAGCAGCGAGGTCACTTACCAGCCATCACCCCACACCCGCACCTGCTTCCTCTCCCCGGTGAGGTCACTGGCGGGGTCACTGTCCATGGCTGTATGAAGGAAGAGGAGGAGCACAGGTGATGTTAGTAAGACTGTTGGTGGACTACTGACGCCGCCTCACCAGCCACTCATCATGGCTATACACGCACACACGCACCCACACTGCCACGCCCTCAAATATCCCACTTTAGCTGGCTACTCTAGCTTCAGACAGCTCCACCAGGGTGACAAATAGGTAAGGAAGTATCCGTCAGGTGTTGGGGATGTGTGGAGATGTGTACGTGTGTGTGTGAGTGGGTGCACACGTGGTGTGCGTGTGTGCGCAGCAGCGCACCTCGCCTGATGTCATGAGGTGGGGTGATGTGCCCATCCTGGGGGGGGGGACAGGAGGCACTAAGTGCCTTTTGAATGGACCTACAGCACATCTCTACCTTCCATTCCTTTCTAAACACATTGTTTTATCCACATTATGCCAAGACAATTTCCTTCCTCATTCGTGGCTCATTTTAGGAAAAATCGTGTCCCCGATTCCTATTTTAGACGAGATTCGTCATATACACACTTGATAAATTCCTTCATCATGCCTCAAAGTGGATTATAGCATGACACGTCTGATCTTTGAGACAGTCATGTCATAACCTGGCTAGTCCATCGTCCAGGGAATATTATCACACCAGGAGAACAGTGTAGAATTAAGAGTTGTGAGAGCTGTGGTACCCTCAAGGAGGTACTTTGATGCTGGTACAAGGCTCTTAGTAACTTACTTTACATACAGGTACAGATAAGTACACTTATATAGTGTAAATTATCTAGGATAACGAACATAACTATGGGTTTTCTGCACTAAATGTCACCCATCTCTGTACAAATATTATATCAAGCTAAAATAAAAATTATTATTATTATTATTATTATTATTATTATTATTATTATTATTATTATTATTATTATTATTATTATTGGAGTCCTGGAGTATATGAACCTGCGTTTCCCTTGGATCGAAGCTGAATATGAGTCATTCTTCACATTCTATATGACCTTTACGGGTTTAGCGCTGCCAATTAATATAATAATATATCTGTAAACAAGTCTTACCTTGGCCTGGTTTTTAGAGGCACCCATTAGTATTGTTATTATATACCGCATCTTGAAGGGGATGCCCAATAGTATAGGCCATTATATAAGATTATATATAACCCATAATATAATTATATTATGCAGGACTGTGTTGTCTACACAGGACTCAAGGCTCTAAATGTAGAGAGTGCATGATGTCTACACGGTACACGTCAAGGTTGTAGAGAGTGCATGATGTCGACACAGCACACGTCAAGGTTGTAGAGAGTGCATGATGTCGACACGGTACACGTCAAGGTTGTAGAGAGTGCATGATGTCGACACAGCACACGTCAAGGTTGTAGAGAGTGCATGATGTCGACACGGTACACGTCAAGGTTGTAGAAAGTGCATGATGTCTACACGGTACACGTCAAGGTTGTAGAAAGTGCATGATGTCTACACGGTACACGTCAAGGTTGTAGAGAGTGCATGATGTCGACACAGCACATGTCAAGGTTGTAGAGAGTGCATGATGTCTACACGGTACACGTCAAGGTTGTAGAGAGTGCATGATGTCTACACGGTACACGTCAAGGTTGTAGAGAGTGCATGATGTCTACACGGTACACGTCAAGGTTGTAGAGAGTGCATGATGTCGACACGGTACACGTCAAGGTTGTAGAGAGTGCATGATGTCTACACAGCACATGTCAAGGTTGTAGAGAGTGCATGATGTCTACACGGTACACGTCAAGGTTGTAGAGAGTGCATGATGTCTACACGGTACACGTCAAGGTTGTAGAGAGTGCACGCTGTATAGTCCTTGTGGCTTAGCGCTTCTTTTTGATTATAATAATAATAATGTAGAGAGTGCATGATGTCTACACGGTACACGTCAAGGTTGTAGAGAGTGCATGATGTCGACACGGTACACGTCAAGGTTGTAGAGAGTGCATGATGTCTACACAGCACATGTCAAGGTTGTAGAGAGTGCATGATGTCTACACGGTACACGTCAAGGTTGTAGAGAGTGCATGATGTCTACACAGCACATGTCAAGGTTGTAGAGAGTGCATGATGTCTACACGGTACACGTCAAGGTTGTAGAGAGTGCATGATGTCGACACGGTACACGTCAAGGTTGTAGAGAGTGCATGATGTCGACACAGCACATGTCAAGGTTGTAGAGAGTGCATGATGTCTACACGGTACACGTCAAGGTTGTAGAAAGTGTATAATGTCGACACAGCAGGTATACACGTGTCCTGAGTGAGTATATATGATTGCTAAACTCTGTCCTTTTAAGGTAACTACCAAGTATCGTTCAGTGTACTCGCCTATATGTGGTTGCAGGGGTCAAGTCACAGCTCCAGTGAAGGAGATCTTAATAATTCATTAGTGTAATAAATTAAGAGGGACAGGAGATCAACACAGGGGAAGCTACTGGGTGAATACAAGCAGATATAAAGATAACTAAACAGCTTAAGTGACAGATATTCGGGTGATTGATTCCCAGATAATTATATACTCATGTGTTAGATCCTCAGGTGATTATTTATTCAGATGTAGATATTAAGTCTCGACGCTTGAGGTAGGAGACATACCCTAAAAAATATGACAGGCATTATTATTATTATTATTATTATTATTATTATTATTATTATTATTATTATTATTATTATTATTAATTATGAAACTAATGTTAAATCGGTATGAGTCTTACAACTTTGGACTTATGGGATATATACCAGGGGTGTCACTAGCACGTTAAGAGACCATACAATAAGTGTCAGGGGCCCGAGACTGTTCAACTGCCTCCCAGCACACATAAGGGGGATTACCAACAGACCCCTGGCAGTCTTCAAGCTGGCACTGGACAAGCACCTAAAGTCAGTTCCTGATCAGCCGGGCTGTGGCTCGTACGTTGGTTTGCGTGCAGCCAGCAGCAACAGCCTGGTTGATCAGGGGCTGATCCACCAGGAGGCCTGGTCACAGACCGGGCCGCGGGGGCGTTGACCCCCGAAACTCTCTCCAGGTAAACTCCAGGTAAGTGCTCTATATACCAGAAGTCCCCAGTAAGTGCTCTATATACCAGAAGTCCCCAGTAAGTGCTCTATATACCAGAAGTCCCCAGTAAGTGCTCTATATACCAGAAGTCCCCAGTAAGTGCTCTATATACCAGAAGTCCCCAGTAAGTGCTCTATATACCAGAAGTCCCCAGTAAGTGCTCTATATACCAGAAGTCCCCAGTAAGTGCTCTGTATACCAGAAGTCCCCAGTAAGTGCTCTATATACCAGAAGTCCCCAGTAAGTGCTCTATATGTAAGTCAGTGACCTGTATGAGATAGAATCAGTATGACCACAGGAGTCGTATTACATCTGCAGGTGTGCCTTATTACATCTGCAGGTGTGCCTCATTATGTTTGTAGGTGTGCCTTATTACATCTGCAGATGTGCCTTATTATGTTTGCAGGTGTGCCTTATTACATCTGCAGGTGTGCCTTATTATGTTTGCAGGTGTGCCTTATTATGTTTGCAGGTGTGCCTTATTACATCTGCAGGTGTGCCTTATTATGTTTGCAGGTGTGCCTTATTATGTTTGCAGGTGTGCCTTATTACATCTGCAGGTGTGCCTTATTATATTTGCAGGTGTGCGTTATTACATCTGCAGGTGTGCCTTATTATGTTTGCAGGTGTGCCTTATGTTTGCAGGTGTGCCTTTTTATGTTTCCAGGTGTGCCTTATTACATCTGCAGGTGTGCCTTATTATATTTGCAGGTGTGCCTTATTATGTTTGCAGGTGTGCCTTATTATGTTTGCAGGTGTGCCTTATTACATCTGCAGGGGTGCCTTATTATGTTTGCAGGTGTGCCTTATTACATCTGCAGGTGTGCCTTATGTTTGCAGGTGTGCCTTATTACATCTGCAGGTGTGCCTTATTACATCTGCAGGTGTGCCTTATGTTTGCAGGTGTGCCTTATTACATCTGCAGGTGTGCCTTATTATATTTGCAGGTGCGCCTTATTACATCTGCAGGTGTGCCTTATTACATCTGCAGGTGTGCCTTATGTTTGCAGGTGTGCCTTATTACATCTGCAGGTGTGCCTTATTATGTTTGCAGGTGTGCCTTATTACATCTGCAGGTGTGCCTTATTACATCTGCAGGTGTGCCTTATGTTTGCAGGTGTGCCTTATTACATCTGCAGGTGTGCCTTATTATATTTGCAGGTGTGCCTTATTATGTTTGCAGCTGTGCCTTATTACATCTGCAGGTGTGCCTTATTATGTTTGCAGGTGTGCCTTATTACATCTACAGGTGTGCCTTATGTTTATTATATTTGCAGGTGTGCCTTATTATGTTTGCAGGTGTGCGTTATGTTTGCAGGTGTGCCTTATTACATCTGCAGGTGTGCCTTATTATGTTTGCAGGTGTGCCTTATTATATCTGCAGGTGTGCCTTATTATGTTTGCAGGTGTGCCTTATTACATCTGCAGGTGTGCCTTATTATGTTTGCAGGCGTGCCTTATTACATCTGCAGGTGTGCCTTATTACAACTGCAGGTGTGCCTTATTACAACTACAGGTGTGCCTTATTACAACTGCAGGTGTGCCTTATTACATCTGCAGGTGTGCCTTATTATATTTGCAGGTGTGCCTTATTATGTTTGCAGGTGTGCCTTATTACATCTGCAGGTGTGCCTTATTATGTTTGCAGGTGTGCCTTATTATGTTTGCAAGTGTGCCTTATTACATCTGCAGGTGTGCCTTATTATATTTGCAGGTGTGCCTTATTATGTTTGCAGGTGTGCCTTATTACATCTGCAGGTGTGCCTTATTGCATCTGCAGGTGTGCCTTATTATGTTTGCAAGTGTGCCTTATTACATCTACAGGTGTGCTTTATTATGTTTATTATATTTGCAGGTGTGCCTTATTATGTTTGCAGGTGTGCCTTATTACATCTGCAGGTGTGCCTTATTATGTTTGCAGGTGTGCCTTATTATGTTTGCAAGTGTGCCTTATTACATCTGCAGGTGTGCCTTATTATATTTGCAGGTGTGCCTTATTATGTTTGCAGGTGTGCCTTATTACATCTGCAGGTGTGCCTTATTGCATCTGCAGGTGTGCCTTATTATGTTTGCAAGTGTGCCTTATTACATCTACAGGTGTGCTTTATTATGTTTATTATATTTGCAGGTGTGCCTTATTATGTTTGCAGGTGTGCCTTATTACATCTGCAGGTGTGCCTTATT